TAGTTGATGGTATCTAAGAAAGATTTTTGAACTTAGAATGTTTGGTGTGTCAACGACACTGTTGTCTGCTTAGTATTTAACATTGCGGATTCAAGCATGAAACTGGATCTGATCAGGTGTGCCAGATTGAACTTGGTCGTTTATAACGTCTCAAAACGAATATATTTGGGAAATATGCAACTACATAGACTCCCTATTCCTGTATAATTAGCTACATGAACTTTGATATGTATTTTATGTATTTTCATATATCTATTATTTGTTAAGAAAATGAGTGAGCTGCATGATTGGTGTGCGTAAATTGTTTTACTATAATGATGCATTCCTAATTTAGACTTGGTTCTCTCAGTTTATACTTTCCGGATAACCAATCGACTTTTTTTCTAAGTATCAAATTGGTGCCAGCGGTGGGACTGCCAACTTTAGAATTCTGCTGAATGCTTTTACATAGAAGAGGACACAAGATAGACGTTGAGCCAGCCTAAACGAACTACTGGCAGGAAATGCATTGGCGTTTTTTTTTTCAACGGTTACCGATTCACCAGTCTCTGAACTTTGACGACATTAAGAACTGAAGAGATTTTATTTGACAGTAGAAGAATTCGGGAAAATATTTCGGACATAAACACATGAGGGATCTGGCTATGATAGAACAGTTATTTATTAGTGTTGTAACCAGGCAATGTTCCTGTAGATCAAACTGATAGAAAGCGACAGATTTTCTCGCTTAACTTTGCTGAGACGAGAAAACAATAAAATGCTGCAGGCGACTGAACTCATGACGAATATTGGAGCAGTAAATGAACTCAATGAGGCACAGTAGAAAAATGCTGTTGTTTTTAGGTCTGTAACAACGAATTTGATAGCCCTGAGATTGCGACAGGGAGCTTTTTCCTACAACTATTGGTACTAATGGAGTATTGCCAGGTGATCATGAACTTGCGCACCAGGCACCGAAATGAATATCGAGCCGGATTTGAAACACAACTAATACCCATACAAATCAACCACCAATATGATATCATAGTAAAGACATACGATAATATTACATATACTAATCCATAAACAATTTGATATGAGGGTTAGTAAACCTTATGCAAGTTGAATTCGATTATCTATCGTCTTTGTTATCATATGCTAACGCCAGTTAAATTGACAAGATAGGGTGACATTCACGAGTGTGTCTCCTTAACGTACAGAACACTTACAATGATTACTGAGAGAATGATATGATCTGACATGATGATGTGATATGTGTGACACATAAACACATACAGGTATACCGGCAACGGGTACTGTATATCTCTACTTGGACGTTTGTTCCCAAGGCCAATAAACATGTCATTTTTACTTCTCGTAATTTATTTATTGGCATAAAGATAAAAAAAAAAATACCACTTAAAAAAATCAAATACTTCATATAAAAAATTACAATTATATTGATTTCGAAGAGCTTTTCGACAAACGTTTTAAGAAAGTGAATTACTTGGTTGTAATTTAACAATATCTCCCTGACCGAAAGAATAACTCTGTAGAGGGTTAAGTATTCTTGACAACTGATACGGTTGATGTTTTATACGCAAAATTAAGAATAAAATCTACACAATCGTCTAACATTGTCCGTTTTCACACCATATCAAACAAGTCTTTAATCAAACTGGCAAAATGTATAAAAAAAATGATATCCTATTTCAGATAACCTCAATAAATTTATGATTGATAATTCTCTATTTTACTTCCTTTGAAGCAAGCACGGACATGAACTATCAATCACCAACATATATTGATGTCTGTTTGCATTCTTGCAGGTTCAATGACGACATTCTTCAAAGTGTATTCATATATTCATAATAGCTATTGTGGAATTGTGCGTATTTATTTCAATTAATGCATATCACTTACGGGCACCGGTTAACCTCTCAGATCTACCTTAGTTTTCATTAGCTAAGATTTGTTATTGATGATATACTTAAGTCTTCAGAAACAAATTGACTGAGAATGATGAAAACATATTTATAACGGACACAACAATATTTCCCGTCAATCTTTAATGTGTGACGTCGCCATGGTGTAAATGTAGCACAAACATGGCAATAATTCCATGTCGGTTTTTTTAATGATGTAAGATTACTTTTGCTTACGTACTGACTTAATTATAGATGTGATATTTGTCAGAAATGGTGAGGTAAACATTACCTGTGGTAGTTTAATCATTTCTGTCTTTACTGTCATTCCACTTAAGGATACATACATTACGAACACGATTGTCATTCAAATATATAAAGCATGTGTTCAGTTGCTTTCTTTTAACATTTTTCCTCTTCAGTAAACAAATCATAATATAAAAATCAATTTCCTTAACTGAAAGTTATTATGTGTGGTATGCGTCAGCGCGTATGTGTAATGCGAGGCTGCCCTGTGTAATCGATGTTATCTCGGGGAAAAGTGCACGCTAATTATCGTCACTGTAATTAGGCACTAACGTCATTTACAGGTGAATGTGATCCCGTACACGCTTTACATTGACAATGACGAGTGTGATCCGACCCCTCACAGTAAACAACAACATCATATAGAGCGACACACAGGAGATTATTCGTGGTTGGATGAAGGCGAGACAGAAAGGGGGAATGACAAATGTCCGGTGCTTATCAGATATTGGATAGCAATACATCTTTTCATGATTTGAAGGGAAGTATTTATAGGGGAAGACAATTATTATCAAATTATAAACAATTTGGGTAATTGTCTGTCGTCAATATACTTAACTTAGGATCATTATATCATATGTTATAAACAAATTGGGTAATTGTCTGTCGTCAATATACTTAAGATAACCTATGATCACTATATCATATGTTATAATTGGAGCATTATTTTTTATCAAACAGTTTTACGGATTTGATTGACAGGAGGGTACATCTAGGACGTTGTAACGATATGAATAACTGAATGTATATGCTTTAAGGAAGTATTTTTCCAAAACTGATGCTCTTCACAGATATTCACAACAATTTGTATTAACTCATTTTTCTCAGCTCATGGAATCGTCCTAGCATTTACACACAATTTCTATTTACAGGTACGCAACATTTCAGTGTATTATCTATTGTTATAACACAAACAGGTGCTAAGACGTTTGAATGACGTGTGGGGAGAAACCACATCTATATATACTTTTATAAGATGGATCAACAAATCTTTTTCGACGTTTTTGGAATACATCTTGTACGTGACGGATCATGAAACAGACAAGTTTTTTAACCTACAATGTACGCGTAGAACACTAATTCCGAAAACGTCGTCCACGATGAAATTACTCTTGATAGAATTTTTAATAAACTTTATATCATCATTAGTAGGGTTGTTAAGTAATAGGATCATCGATCATTATATCAATAAAGTTTCTTTTCATAAATATTTATAAATTGCTTAATCAAAGGAATGCTGATATCTTGTTATTTTCTATCGTTCGTGCCTTTTGACTTGCTGTAAATGTCACCTTCTATGACAAGCGATATCTTTAAAACCACAAACACAGCATTGTGCCAATATTGTTTACACCATACAATTTCAATGAGAATATCGATTTTCTCGGTAAATTTACTTTGATATATCCAAATACAATCTCCGTTAATGGAGGAGAGCTGGCGGGACGATTTCCCTTTAAAACTATCCTAATGCTGCAATTTTACTTCGCTATTAACGCTAGGCATCTTTGATATTAATTACTTCTCATTTATTTTCGATCGATAGAAGCTGTGAGGTAATGCGTTTTACGCTAATGTAGAATCCGTTTAAGATATATCATTTTTAAGATGTTAAGCCCTGAACATCCTAGAGAAACGTAGACTAGCTAATAGCGTTTGTGACAGGCTTTGACAGGTAATTGATCATCAACACAAGACAGGTTTTAAACGTAAACTTAGATCGACATTTCTGAGAAGGGAACATTTCTATTATGATACTGATCTGAAGACATAGCTAAAAAATGCACCCAATTAATTTATTTGGTGAAAAACACTCGTATGAATTCAACTTCTGTAACGAGAGATTTTGAAAAATCATTCTGACTGCATTATTGAAATAGGAAACCAGAGAATGTACTCTTCATGCACGAAACATCTATATGGCATTTTTATTATTAGCTTCTACTTAAAAACAGCCATCCTACACCACGTTTACGGTAGCCACTAGACTTAGAAAGAAGAACATAATAAAAGTTCTTATAAAACTACTGACCCCTTTGTTCCTCGTCCACGTACTCCTGTTGTATGTATTGTGAAGGTCAGGAAATGAAAATAAACCGTGATTGATTATAATGTGGATTCTATTGAGTATAAAGCGCTTTGTGTTTCGGGATGATACGACATGCTTAATACTAAATAATATCACATATTCCAACTCGTCACGATGTTTTTAATGAAAGTCTTTTCCTTGCAGAGAAATTTTAAAATTAAAAGATAAAAATTTGAAATATTCTAAATATAAATTTGATACCATGCTATTTCATTACTACTTCATTCTACTGTTTGCCGGCCGTCTGAGGTGTAAACCTATTTAGTATTAGGAATGAGATTGATTTACATGTATTTGCATGAAGCGGATTCTGTTACAACATTTCACACGAATGTCAATTATCTTTGTGATGGGTACGCGTGAAGACCTTAATGTTCTTATATACTGTATGGGTTGTTTTGGGATATCATGTGCCCCCTACAAACCACGCTGACCCCAACACAATGTCACAGAAATGGCTTTCTGAGCAGGTTGTAAGCCATATTGTAATTGTCCAATAAGACTGTCAATCAGGAATGATAAATCTCCCATTCGATATGTGATAATTAATATTTAAGGTGGTTTATAAACATTTTAAATGTCCGACCCACATCGTAAGCCTCACAAAGGGAAAAGTGAATTGGTTTTTAAACGGTACGGAGCAGGCTATGTGAGAGATAGGCCTACCGCTGTAGGTATGTATTCATTAGACTACGGAGCAGAGTGTGTAATTGTTAGGTATACTCCCGCCCATCAGCCAATCAAATGACAATGCCAATCGGGTCACCAAAGGTCAATGGAATGTACTCATGCGATGAGAATAGGTTTGTCTGAACAGTTATAATACGTTAAAGAAACGCACATGGCAAACTGGCAGAGTTATCGGTGTGGGGGTAACGGAACATCGGAGACACAGTCATTTTAACAAATTCCAATCATTTCAACGACGGCCACAGACAACAGGCATGCCTTATTACCAATCATGTAGGAGAATTATCGATACGGATTAATTACGAAGCTTTCCGGATTTAATATAAACAGATATTGATTAGCGTCTGGGTTGTATCACATATACAGTTACTGGTTACGCTTGTCTGCTTTTACATTACGCTCTGGTGTAAGCACTGTAACCTGTAAACTAGTGTACGAGACTAATGCTTGTGTTTCCCCGTGCTTCATAACTTCCTTTGCGAGGTCGCCTCCGAGTCGGTGAATGACGATGTGCCTCTGTGTGACAGTGTTATTTTTACTGTGTTAGTGGTACGTATTGGAAAGTATATATACCATGGAGATGGATTATCATCAAAATCCATATAAATGTAGACTAAATATTTCTGTGCCACCTGGAAAGGAAGGACGATTTAAGAAAATTGTCTCGCCATTGATGAAATGGATCGATCCATCTTTCCAAATGTTACAAATTGCAAATGACAATGCAGCTGAATGGAAGATTCGGACTAACAAAAATCAAACGCGTCCGTCACATTGCGAGGAAAATATTGTAATGGTCCCTTCTATTAGCATTATGCTATTCCTATATGAGCACGGTTCAATGTCGGCAGCGGACGTGCAAAAATGTCTGAAGACAAAACCTTGGAAGTTTCACCACAAAGTGGAGTTACACAGCAAATGGACACCGGACAGGGCCGTGGCCGCCCAGGAGTTTTACGGGCTGGCAGACGACATGCCTTTATGGTCAGTTTGTCCAGTACATTGTGGAAATGAACATTTTCGTGTTTTATATCACGTTCAAAATTTCCAGAAGATGATGGAATTCTACAGATGTGTAACCGATATGGAAATAGAAAGCAGCAAACCAGGATTCTGTATATTTCAGTTGTATTCACAACCTGGGTTGGACATTCAGCTTGCCTTAAAACAGTCAAAAAACATTCGACCCTACCCCGTGCATAACGCTTGCCTTACGTTCCAGATAAAACACATTGATTCTCTGAGGGCATTTCTGGACTGTGAAGTTACGGAGATCAGTGACCGAACTTTCCTGGTACAGGATCCTGATGGGAATTATGTGATGCTACAGGAGGAGTTAAGCAGTGGTGTTACAACAGAGTACGAATCTCTGGATATATTTCAAACGCGAGATTCGCACTCAGGATCTAAGTTCGATTCCAATGGATATTCGAAAAGCCTGCGGAGTTCCTCGGACAGTCAGGATTCGGGAAGGTGTTCTGATAGTGATATTTGGTCCAGTGAAGTGGAACAGATCAAAAGCAACAACCAAAACGGTAAAAAAAATTCACTTAATCAAGGTAATAGGTACTCCGCGCCAGGACAGTGCGGCGGCGACGTCATAGGATGTTACCCGGGGTATGTAGTACCCGACAACTATCGCCAGTGGGAGAGGCAAAGTCAATTAACTTTCGACACAGTCCAGAGACATAATACTGAGTCGGTGCGAGGAGTGGAGGCCCCAGTTTTCATATGAAACTGAACAACCGCATCTGTCAATGGCAGAGCCCCCCTGACGGGTACAAAGATTACTGGTAAAAACATAGACGTTTCCTTATATATTTGAGCTTTTCATAGTTGATGTCTTTTACGGGGATTTTCTATGGAGATGTTTTTGGATTATACTTCGATGTGTCAAGGGTATTTATCAAGATAGGTAAATTTTCGTTCACAAGGATATATAACACCTCATTTCCCTCAGCGTTATGACAAGCTATCTGTGACATTTACATCTTTATCGAGACCAGTAAAGCAATCCCTGTTAAAGATGTAAGGCGAAATATGAGCAACTGCCGTTTATTGTCACTCTTTATTATTCTTAAAACTGATGTTAGCATTTAAAACCTTATTTAAAACCTAAATTAAAATTCCATAAAAATATCCCCGTATCATGTTTACATAGAGGATATTTTCACACAAACTGAAATGGGTACGGGAACTAAAGTCGACTTTCTCGCTACAGGATATGTCTGTTGATATGAATATCACACTGTGTCCTTGTCATCTCTCATTCTTCCTACTGAACAGAATAAACAATGACTAGACTCCAGATTGTTTTCCGTCCCAATATGGGGTCTAGGCCGAGGACATGTTTGTCTGTGTGTTATGCTCCCTGTAGAGTGCGTGAAAAGTACAAAGATTTGTTTGGAACTCCTCCCTAATCATAGAGTAGCGAGAGTGAGAATGATGGCTGCTTGGGAAAGGCTTAAATTGAATAGTGTGCAATATATCAAAACCAATTGTAAATGTATACCTTAGCTGATAGCTAAAAGGAAGCAGAAAGGGTATACAAAGACGTGTGTATCAACTGCTGCGGTTTGTTAGGCACATGAGAACCGACATTTTGCACTTGTGTACATTTAGATTATTCTATTGATAATCTGTATGATAAGTACATCGTCCTCTCAGGCGTTCATCCAGTGAGACGTGTAAATAGGTTCAAAACACTTTCCCGTTTAAAACAGACTTCACTGACGCACTACCGTTAATTGGGAAATAATAATCCCGGGTACAGTGTGTGTTTAATGCTAACCTGCGATCGCGGTGCATGGTAGCGCTGAGTATCGCCTTAACCAAGTAGAAAGCCGACTGTATACCATGTCCATTCATTGCTACACACGCTCTTTATAAAATAAGAAAAAGTGTTTACTAATACACCCTATTTATTGATTAGAGTACAGATAAATACTAATGGATTTGCAGGCATTACTTGGTAAGGGTTTTTAACGTGTTTTGAGCCAAAAAAATCGGTCTCAACTACTCTACGCCGGGGAAAAAATGAATAACAAATACCGCACACAAAATCAACTATTTTTATGAAGAGAATAATTTAGATTGAAAATTGACCTGTGGTAACCCAACATTCCTGGTAAATAAAGTGATATATGGTACACAGGTAATGCAGTAGTGGGTTGAACATACACGTAGGTTAGAACCCCACCGGCATATTTGCTGTACTGAAATATACCAGATAGTCATAAAGTGTGTAACACGTGAATGTTCTACAGGGTTGTTGTGAGAGTCGATAATGTTTACTAGTCATCTCCCCAATAAACATATCTTTAGCCATCATACAACCGGGACATCATTACAAGATATAAGTCGGCAGCTATTACGTCATTATAACTACAAATATTTATCTTTAATTGTCTGGAATGCTGTACCGTGTAACTATTATTAATTGATATAACACAAAACTTACCTTCATTACCATGTTGTTAAGGATTGTTATTGTTCCAGATACATTTTTATTTCAGAATAGTATCTGCAATTCTGTGAAACAATGTAGGGGCCATGGCTTTGATGTGTCGCTATACTTATTTACTGATGAGATTAGTATTAATGTAGAAATTATAACATGTGTATTGTTTTAATGTGCCAAACCTAGTTAAGGAATTTGATATTAAATTAAAAAATGAAAATAAACATTATTTTTGTTATATTTGTATTCATAACCTGTTCAATGAACGTGATGTGTTTTAAATAATGCGTATATTTGTTTTGCAAAAAGAAATGCATAAATAATTTTAAGTTTCAAAATAAGTACCTTCCATCGCACTTCGGCCAGGAAAATATATTATATTATATAGCACACACCATGTTATCCATACTGTAATTTTCAAAACAAAATCATACAAAGTATACCCCTAAAAACTTTTGACAACTTAAAAACAAGATATAAACATAAGTATTAAAGTTTGATTTTGTTTTATCCTTTCTTGTTTTTGTGGTGAAGGTATACAGAACCATGTCGGCTATTTTGATAAAAAAAAATACATTTCATCTTATTGACAGGATTTGTTTCTCAAAGACTACACTTGCCATGCTTACTCCCCTGTTTTGATTTTGTTACCGTTACTTTACAGAGAACCAAACGTCCATAACATTTGTCAGTCTACTGATTATTTCAAGTATACTAAAGAAATTATTGTATATCATTTACCAGGAGATTTTCTTTTTAATCAATAAAAAAACCACAGATAAAATAATTAAGACTTCTTCCCTGAATTATATCATTGAACATGTAATTCCATAACATATATAAAAGCTCACCGTTTTGGGGTTTTTTTCCTCAATAAATAAAGTTTATTATTATTATCATTATTATTAGTGTCAGATTTGGTGAAAGACCAATCAAGTATTAGTTTTATTTCAAAAACAATTCTGACTTATAATGGACCCAGATTCCGTTCGCGTTATGCCTCTCAAAAGGTCAAGAAATACACTGGTTCTAAAAATTATACAATTTTATGTACAATTCTAAAGAATACAAAAACGATTAAAAGTCACCTACTTCATTCCAGAAAATACACAAGTCACCCAAGGGGATATATGCCAAACATTATGTACAGATCATGAATGGATTATCATTCACATTAACACCTATTGTTTTCGACACAACAAGATAAAATGCATTTTACAAAGCAAAGAAACACAAATGTTACTCCTAAAAATCATAGGCTATGGGCATAATAAACAGGGGATATGTTGGGATGTGAACTGAAGATGACTCTCGAATATCACATAGTTAGTATCATAATATACACATAAGTGATTTGAAGGGCGTAATACGACTCGGTTCATATATGACCCGCAGGCCAGATATACTGAAATATCAAACAATAAACATTCTAAATGATCTACAATGCAATTAAGTTCGATCAACAAGAAGAACATTTAAATGCACGTCATTTCGCTCAAGAGATCAGGAAAGTGTTAGTGTTAGTGTCAAATCATGTGTAGTGTTATAGGTCTGCTTATAGTGAATGGTGTCCAACTCGACCTTAGAAACGCACAAAGTGTATAGGAAATATGATTTCATAATTCAGATTTCTATATCTTTACTATCAATATGATGCGTCAGCGTGATGACATGGTTCTCATCCTTTTGTCTGAATCCTATTGTATAGGTCTAATAAAAGAAAATATACTAAAATAAAAATAAATCAGATACTCAAAACATCACTTAAGCCAGAAAACAAACATTCTTATAAATTTTACCATATAACAGGACTCCTATTGTATG